CTTACATGAAGTCTTATCTTTCCCACAGGTTCCCTGGTTTGGCTCACTATCTGGAGCATATGCTCTTTATGGGTTCCAAGAAGTACCCTGGAGAGAACGAGTTCGAAACCTACCTCTCCAAAAACGGTGGCTACAGCAATGCCTATACAGAACTAGAGTAGTATTAGTTGTTGGGTTGCCGATCTATACAGTTCTCTTGGTGTTCCCGATGAATATCAAATTTACGTCGAGATGCAACAAATTCGATACTAGTGGATACTGCTCAAGTTCTCTCGATGCTTGTCATCATCATGATATTGTCGATGTATACTAGCGAAAGTATTGAGATAGCGACTACTAGCGTCTTCGCGAGTAGCAACTGTGTAAATACCTGCGCAATTCATTACATTCATGCAATACATTCAATGGTTATAGATGACTTGTACAACAACTGTACATCATCTCATTATCAGGTATACTTGTTACTACTTTGAATGTACTGTTTCCGGTTTCGAGAAGGCTGTGGATATGTTTTCTGGTTTCTTCACAAACCCACTAATGAATCCCGACTCTAGCGAGAGGGAGCTGGAGGCAGTTGAAAGCGAGTAAGGTTGTCAGAAGTGCCCTCACGGGGGTTCGAACCTGCGACCTTACCCGATGTAGGTATCGACAGACCTTGAATAGCGATTCTGCCAGGCTTGAGCAGCTAGGTTGCTATATGGCTGAGAAAAACCATGTACTACTTTATTTTGAAGGGTCATATACCACCGACTACATCTTACTCCGTCTGTAGTAGATGAAATGAGTAGACTATATGACCATAAGAAATTGGAGATGTTCGATGTAGTGTGGTATAAGAAGTGTGTGATGATAGGTGTGGATTGTTGCGGAGTCGGAGGGATATGATAGATCGAAAACGAACGTTTTTTGTGTTGCGGAAAGTTATCGATGCGTTGATTTTCCACTTTTCCCATCAGATCTGGAAGAAGTTCACCTGGGGTAACAAGAAATCTCTATTGCAAGGTAGTGATGATTACAGCAAACTGAGAGAAGCTCTGATGCAGTTCTACGATCGTTACTATGTGTCTGGTAATGCTTAGTCTGGTAAAACGTTGGAGTGATTTTTTCCGATGGCTCAGGCCGTATGAGAGCGTGCATGGTTGGAAGGATGTCCTTAGACGAGATGGAGAAGCAGCTGGTAATACTAAGGAGAGCGCATCG